ATATATATATATATATATATATATATATGTATATATATAAATAAACGCTAAACTTTTTGTATTTATGTATAAAAATAATTAATTACAGAAATTACTATATTCGAAATTATACTTTGTGCATATCTATATAGTTACATGATACATTTGTTCTTCGAATAAATAATAAAACGAAGAGAACCATCGATTACAAACCATTATGTAGCCGATTTCGCAACGATTCTTTATTTACTGTCGTATCGGACGTATATAATTATATTTCATAAATCTAAATTGGACGGATTTTCAATCAAAATTATCTACACGTATCTCTCTCAAATTAGACGCCAAAATTTCACATTGATGTAACATTGTTTATAAAAATTGCATGCATTATCCGCGATTAGGCCCACTGTTATCGAAGTCCGACCGCGATTTTGCGCAATTCACGTGTTGCTTTTTTTCTCTCTCTCTCTCTATTTAAAATCTTTTTTTCTCGCAGATATCGAAGCGTCACAGGTCGCAGCACCGCTTATCACTTCGTCCCATTCGTGTTGGTATTGTGCAAACGCTAATATTGTTATTGACGATATAAATGTAAATATACTTTAGGAAATCGGACGGACTAATGGAAAGTTTGTTTTCAACAACGCGATTGCAAAATTTGTGATTATTCCGATTTTTTTAACCCGGAGCTGCGACAGAGATTCTGCTAATAAACAGAGGATCGACTCTTTCTCACTCTTTTTTGTTTTTCTTTTAACCTCACGTTTCTCTGCGTATTTTCGATCCGTGGTTCTTTCCATTGTGGAGGCATTTCATCGTCTCTCTCTTTCTTTTTAGAGGCTTCTTTACACAATCGCTAGTTTTGCAATACCGATAAGCGAACGGTTACTCACGCGATCTCTTGACACTTTAATGCTTCGCCCCCCCCCCCCCGGTAATGTCACTGATACACGAATGTAGTCTTGACAGACAATTAGCGCTTCTCTTTATTTGCTCACTTTGAGATATTTAATGGAGGGGTAGANGTTTAAACAATCATTTTGTTAACAAAGAAATGATGTATACATCAATTATACAATTTTAATGTTTTACAGAGAATTTTAGAATACATTATTATTTACGGAAAATATTATTTTTTAAATCTTATTATCACGTATGTATTAATTATATAAACATGTATACGTATGTACATATAATTTATAATGCAAACATAAGCAAGAAAAAAAAATGGTACTTAAAATTTTCATGTATATTCTAAAATCTGTATCGATAAAGATGCGTACTGCTTTAAAAAATTTTTAAGTAACGTAAAAGACAAATAAACTTATCGAGATTCACGTAAACATAAACTTTTCTCGCATGGGTTGTTACAAAATGTTTTAGCTTTAATATCAAGCCAAGAAATTAATCAGGTTCAAGGCATGTACACAAGGTCATATTTCTTTCTGTTTTTTAATCAATTAATCAATCCATCGCCAAGGAGAGAAGTTCGGGTCACCCAAGTAAAAAAAAACTTGACAGAAGATATAATTATATATGCGCGGTACAATTCAATTGACTGATAATAATAAATAACGGATGATAAGATACGATAAGGTGACATATCAAGACATTAGAACTCATAAAATAAACTCGGATCTTTTTCTAATATTTCAACGTGGCAAGTCAATGTGTCATATGACAATTTTCGTTCTGTTGTTCTTAAAAATAAATAAACAAAAATTGATTATTTCGAGAACACTATTAATAATTCACATGTTTTGAATACAATTATAAATTTATTTATTGGGCATATTACAAAATAAAATATTTATTATAAAATAAATTAAAAAAAGAGAATAAATATTTACAGAAATTAGGAATCTATTGTAAACACAACTACACGATGCTGTTATATTAAAAAATTGTACGATAATTATAAAAGTTGCATTTTTAGATAATTGTACATATGAGAAAAATACTTATAAATTTATAAAACTATATAAATACTTGTAAATTACAAAAATTTAGAAAATTAAACATTTTTTACATGTATTTTATCGATTTACAAGACAAACGCGACAACGTGAATTGTTCTAAATGTTTACTTACGTGGTCGTCTGGTCGCAATGAAGAGAAGATGTTTCGCCAACATGTTGAAGTACAACCGCGACGATTCGCGAACTGATCGAGAATTGCAAATCGAACTTACGACCGCTCCGCCGTCGTATCAACAGTCGCCGCGCGGCGACTGCCTGTCTACCAACTAGGTTTTCTCCTCGTTTTTAAACCGATAACGGCGTNTTATCATCGCGCCACACTAAAAAGTCGAGTTCGCGGCGAGTCATTCGACGAATCATGACTGTCACGTGAAGTTCGCAAANCTCTTTTCGCGATCNTCCGGTAACGATTACCTTGATCTCGTGGATAGAGTCAAAAAAATCGTNATATCGCGAGAGATAAANTNAAATCGGACNGATTTTTGGAAAGACGTGATCAAAGACACAATGACAGTTGAAACGTACAGAATTCTTGTATAAAAATAATAATGCGTCAGTTTTCTGTGTCGCTACATTAGTTCTTACTCGAAGTACTNACAAGTGTACGCGAGAGAACGGAGACTTTTCGAGAAAAAAAAGAACTTTGGCAGGGAACAAACGCAATTATACGATCCGGTCGTGNCGACCGGAGTGCACTGAAGAAACCGGAATCCGCACNAAAGTATTTCAATCCTCGCAGCGAAGATTTTTGTTTATCGACTTATTATCGTGCCGGGATAAATATCGCGTNTGATGCAATCCGCTTGCTTATTGAGCCAGCTAATAACGCTGATAAGGGTTAACAAAGTAAGTCTTTGCTGGGAGACGAGTCTGCGTGGGAGTTTTCCGCGGCGCGTTAAAGCGGAAGATACTCGCCACCCCCCTGCGATAGTCGCCTGTTTGGGGTGGAAAGTTTCAAGATATTTTATGATTTGTGTCCTTTCCCTCTTTGCTTAGATCTCGAAACAAACAATTACAATGCGAAAGTTCGATTGATCGGCTCTAGTCCATACATTATAATTGGCGCGGACTCGCAACAACATCGTAAAACGATATTTTATATTTCATTAATTTTCACAAATGTTTATTACGGTATTTATAAAACAGTCACGTTAGGGTTTAACGAGTAGATAAAAGAGAAGATTTTATTTTGAGAAGTGTGTCAAACGCACGTTTCTTCGCGGTGAGATAAAACTCGATTTGAAACTCGAAAACTATTGAACTCGAAAATATTCCACGCACTGTTGTTTGAGAGAGAACTCGATGAGTGTCGACAATGTGAAACGCACACCGACGAGGTTCGTTGGCCGCAGCTTGGAAGATCGATTGTATGTTGTCGGATAAAAAAAAAAAAAACCAAAAAACAACGTGATCAGTGCTCGTATATCTCCGGTATTGTATCTTTGTTCCGCGCAAGCGTGAAAAAATTAGCAGAGATTTCTCGCTGTCGTCATTGCGGGTGGACGATCCGACGATTTGTCGGTCTTTGCTCCCGTTTGTCGTCGGTTCATGGGAAGTGACGTGACATCCAAGCGGCACGATCCAAGCCGCCGTCTTTTGCATAACGCGTTGCAATCGCTCGCGCCGATATCTCCCCCGCAGCTTCGCGCTCCAATTCTATCTGATTAGACCTTGACGCGATCCTCCGACTCATTCAATCTATTTTACGCGATGATCTCTACCGTTGTTATCTGACAACGGAGCGTCTCGATTTATCAAACTTGCAATTTTCCAGCGGGAAACATCGCGCGCTAAATACCGGATTTTCGACGAGAAAACATCGCTATTTTTTTAGATATCGCAAAAAGCTTACCGTGCAGCAAAATTTGCAATAACAGACTCCCCGATCGAAAAACAACAAGTTGTATATTGTTTTAAATGTCGATTTTTTGGGAGATTTATTTTTATAAGTGGATTTATAGAAATATACTAAAAAAAACATTTGCACTCCATCAGAGTTGAACTAACAAAAAAATAGTAAAACTATTGAACTGTTTCCTACACCCCCCCCTCCCCCTCAAAAAAAGATTATATTTTATACTGCACTTTTTAAAAAGCGTGAAAAAAGTTTAGATTGATTTAATTTTAAAACGTTTACAAAAACGCTTATAAAAAACTAGTTGCTCACCGAATAACTTAATCTCACTGACAAGAAAACTAGATAAAATCAAGTCTAATACCAAAGAAACTTTGAGAAGCACGTACTCCAGTACAAATGTACTTAGTACTGTTAGTCATAAAAAAGTGACATTATATCACACTCCCCGAGCGTGTAATCGTTTTCATAGAGCCTATCTTGTTCACGTGTTTTTTTTTTTTTTCAAGTGTAACTCGGCTTGTGCGGATAACAAAGAAAGAGTTTTGTTATCTCATCAATATTGCAAAACTAGCATTGCCGCCTTATATCAATAGATACTCCCCAGTAAGCATCTGTGTTGTTATCAACATACTTCCAAGCGCAGTTCTCGAGTTGTTTTGAAATCCGAGGAATTCTCAGTTTAAATTACATTGATCTTGATTAAAAAAAAACGTAAAAAATAGAAGACAAAGTCGTTGAATCGACAATTTCGCTTCATATCGACATTGCAAAACTGGCATTGTCGCCGCTAATTATTCTGTAATTGCGCTATCGCGTTCTTTACCAGATTTCTGTATCGGTACTGGAGTATTTGAGCACTCTGACCGGTTCCAGATCCGTAGCTCTCGGTCTAGGACTGGTCGGCGGTACTGATGGGATATTTGTTGACTTCATGTCGAAGGCCGCACTGTTGACGAGCCGCGGCTCCGGACTAGAAACCGTCTCGGGATAATTGATTCTCTCCTTCAACAATTCCTCCTGTAACTCCTCCGAAGGCGTCCTACTGATCTTAGACTTTTCTGTCTGGCTCGCGGAGAATTTCTTAATGAACATGATGGGACTGTTCGCCATGCGATAGCTTTCGCTGCGCTTTACTTTGCGATCCGCTCTGTCGCTCCGCACCGAGGCGGATTTCTTCGCGGCTCGCGCGTCCGATTCCGCGCAATCGACACTCGCGTTCTTATCAGCACTATTATCGCAGGTATTAGATTCCACGTTCTCCTCGGCTGTATTCTGACTATCGGATTTCTTTCTACAGAAATTTGGAGTATCGAGGTCCGAAATTAAGAGTTTCTTACCTAATTTGGGCGTGTTACCGGTCGGTCGTAGGCTCTTTGGATAGAGATCCGATTTCTCGAAATCTAGTCGCAAACTCGTGGGACTCGGACCGACAGGATGATCGAACTTGGGCGGAGTCACGCGCGAAACGTTCGCTTCGGGAGCATCACCGTTGAGCTCCGGCGAGTGATGCTCGTCACGATCTAATCTTTGTTTGGTATCTACTTGCGCGCCCGCATGACAGATTCCGATCTTGTTCGCAGACGCGTTCGGTTCCGGGAGTTTAGTGTTATTATTGCACGGCGCTGGGTTCGAATTGTCCAGAGGTTGCCTGGACTCGTCCTTAGAGCGTGATGATGCAATCGCAGAAGCGCGTGCCTCTAATCTACTGGCGCGGCCGGTGCAATCGCGGTGCTCGTCAGTGCCGGACGTCGTCTTACCTTCGTCGTCTTGCACGTTGACGTAAGCCCCGCGAACCTGTCTGTGATGACTGGTCGGGCTCGTGGGGCCGACCACGGTCGCCGGTGTGCGTACGTAATCTGGACTAGCCGCGCGATCGGGACTTCGCGCCGCCCGAATGATCAGCTTGCCCAGCTGGGGCGACGTTGGCGGCGTGGACGTTTGGATGTTTGTTGGACCGTCCACGGCGTCGCTGTTCTTCGTGACAGCGCGAATGTTCGGCATTGCACGGTGCAGCAACGGTGACGGGCTTGGTGACACTCCTTCTCTCACAAAGGGACCTGAAAATTAACGCAATTAACGTATTCTAATTTCTTGAAGACAACTTAAAAATATAATTTTGTAAGAATTAAAAGCTTTCTTCAATTGTTATACCTGGATTAAATGTCGTATGTGCTCCTTTTCTCCTCTTCAGACTGTCAGACGAGTAGACGACTTTGCCCTCGGAGTCCAGAGTGACTCGAGCACCCTGTCTCTTCCTCTCCAACGACGAGTCCGGCTTTTTCGGTAACTCGCTCAGACTGACGTATTCCGCGTCTTTTTTGAAGATATCGGTATTGGCATAGGTTGCGGTGGGTCGAACGGCAGTCATGCCCGACGACGAGGACGACGATGAAGGTGGACCCGCGGGACGCTTGTCGTTGTTATTCCTCACGTCGGCTATGGTCACATAGTCGCCGGAGTCCGCGTTCGACACCTCTTGCACAGCGCCGCTCTTCGTGGTGTGCTTCTTGCCCGGAAGTACGCCGCGAAGCTTGTCCAAAACGCCGCTCAGTGGACTGACTTTAATTGACAAAGACTGACCCATCGTCGCGACCGGCTTGTCATTATTATTGGCGGCAGCTGCCGGTAATACCTGCACGGTAGCATACAAATTTTTGTCTTGGCCGTTGATCACCTCCATCTTGGAGGTGCCGACGGTGGCGGACATGAGCACCGATCCGCCGCTCTGAAGATCAGTCTTCCTCGGCTCGCTCGTCTTCTTCTCGCTCTGTTCAGTGTCCTTCGCGTGTTCATCATCGGATACGGGCGGCGTGATCACGCACATCGACGGAATCCGGCTGGTCGTTATCGCCGTCTTCGAGCGGATTCTCTCGATCCGCTCGCAACCTTCTAGATCGCTGGATTCCGAATATTCGAATTCGGAGCACGAACGACCGGTACAGGCCGGACTTGAGGCGGACTCGACGGGCGACGAGGACGTATTGTGACCGCTGTCGGGCGACTCGTCGCCGGTTTGATTTTGACCATGAACCTGTTAGTAAAGTAGAGCATATCGACCATCTAAGTTCCTTTTACACAAAAAAATAGGCGAATATCTTCATATTCTTCTTTGAATAGTTAATCCAGAGATTTAGTGAAGTTAAACTAGTGTACAAAAGGTTGATCGTACCATAGCGACAACTGTGAGACTGGACTTGCGTTCGGGAGGTGGGGGTGCCAAAAGCGCCGTGCAAACCGTTCCAGCTGAACTGGTCGTCGTCGAGGTCGATCCTCTACCGAACAATTCGTACTCGTTCTCGACAACCGGCGACGTTGGGTCCGAGCCAATGTCATTCGATTTGGTCAAAGGACTCTGTGGCATAGGTTCTTCCTCTCTGAGCGTTTTCAGACCCGAGTCCATGTGAAACGAGGTGTAATATCCCTCTGTATCGCAAGAATACACCGACGATGTTTCCCCATCGTCCGAGAAGGGCATCACCGTAATGTCCTGGATGATATCCGGGGTCAGGGTACCTTCGGAGGTTACCGACGACGAGGCCGAAGTGTCTCTTCCCTTCAGTCGTCTCATGTGGCTTAAAGCTAAGGAAGTGGAGGACGTGCCGATCGAGGCTGTCGTCGTTGATCTGAAACAGTATAATAAAATTCAATAAGTGTTTTTTTTTTAAGTCATTTTGGAACAGACTCTTAGAGATGTTGAAGAAACGAATGTCTTCTTTTTTTTCTTACTTAGGCTGATGCGTAGTGGTAGTGGTCTCGCTGCCAATACTGGCCCTTCCGCTTTCGGACGAGGCGCTCCAGTTGCCGGAGCTCGAGTGCGGCGCGTCGTCGCGGTTGCTGCTGCCCTTTCGTCGTTCTCGTCTCTGGGCGGCGCTCTCGCGCAATTTCACGCTCGGCTGTTTGTTGTCCGTACTTGGCATCGACACCGGTATGCTGGCCGTGCTCTTGCCGCTCGAACTGGACGAGCTGGGCTTTCTCTCGTGCGACTTGTCCCTCTTGCGTTTCATGGTCACCGTTTCGTAGATGTTGACCTCATCGGGCGTTCGCGTTTGATTTTGCGCTTGTTCGCTCCTCTCTGTAGTCCTCGCCGTCGACTCCTGCTGCTGTTGCTGCTGTTGATTCGATTTCGGACTAATCAACTTCAATCTAGACATGCCCCAGGCCTTCAACGTGTTGAAATGCGACTTCTTCTCTGTAGGCGAGTCCTTCTTTGCGGTACCCAGGATGTCGGTGCTCGCCGAACGATGCGCTCTTGGCGTGGCGTTTGGCATTGTCTCCTCGGGCTCGTCGCCAGCCGTCTCTCTGCGGGCGATAAATAACGCAAACGACGTGAGCACGATGTAGAGTAGACGCCGTAGTGAAACGCGATTTGCATGACGCCTTTAAGGAGCGGGAGAATTTATGCGCGCGCGGTATGATTAATCGAGCGAACCGCGCGACACGCGGTTTTATTACAGATTTATTATCCGCGTGTATTTCAATTGATACACGAGTTGAATTACCGGGACGTGTGGGAGGTCCCGATGTTGCGCGCGTGCGATCGGAACCGCGCGATATCTCGCGACAACGATATCCGGAGATGATCCGCAAGTATTATCGCGGTAATGGAAATACAAAGGTACATACACGCGGCGGCGAGTAGAGGGAGAGATTCTCTCCGTGCTCGGACGGCCGCGAAAATATGAGCGCGAGTTTATCGAGCGTGACAAATCGCCGACTATTTTCAAGGCATAGATCTCGGGAACGACGTTCGCAGCAACAACAGAACTGCGTTACGCGATGAATCCGAGCAAAATACATACGCGAACGTGTTTATTGTGTTGTGAAAGTTGAAAAGGATTGCAAGCATCTAGCGAGGGTGTTTTTTTTTCAAATGACGAAACTTCTTACAATTTTTTTACGATGCACTAAAAAAATTATAAAAAAAATTGTTTCTTTATTACACGCAAAGATTGCAAGCACAAAAAAACTGTAATTTTCAAAAAAAAAAAACGTTTAAAATACTATTAGAAGAATGTAAAAATGCTCATGTGAGTTTCCGCAATTCTCAATAAAGTCAATGAGACAACACTAACCCTCCGATTGCTTGTCGAATCTCTTTCTGATCAGTGCCGGCGATCGTGTTTCGTCTTTTTCCTCTGGGTCTGCGTGGCCGAGACCGTCTCTTCACATTTGTCGTTTCCTGTGTCTCCGGTCCTGACAGCAAAGATCTCCTTCTCATCGACATCCTTTCGAAACCTCGTCCGCTCACATCCACCGCCACTATTTCCGCCGGGAATCTACGATAAAAGCGTATATTTCGGAATCACAATAGAAAGTTTTATTGGCCTGTCGTTGGTAACAAAAATGTATTTCTTTTTTTTTTTTTTGGCAGAATATAGTCAGCCATTGATCTTGCGTAGTTTCGACAGTGGAAAACTTTTTCCGTTTACACGAACGACGGTTTTCGCAATACAATTCTTTATCCGCGGTGATATATCAAATGCGACACGTTGAGATAAACCGCTTACTTGAGCGCAATAGCCTGAACCTGTTCCTCGGGGCTAGGTAGCTTATGATCGACCGCGTCGTCGCAGGTCGTGTCGCTCAGAATCCTGGACGCGCAGTCCGGCGGTACGGTAACGTCGCCGAGCGCCTCGGCGGATGTCCATCTTCGCAGATCCTCGATAGCGGCCGGCTGCAAACAGCGTAACACATGCAATCAAGTCACCGCCCCCTTCTTCGAGATATCTCTTTCTTGCGCACGGTCTGTTACACCGTTTTCGCATAATTATCTACAAAGTTTCCCTTATCTTTGTTAGATAAGCACACGCACAAATGGTAAAATATATCTAAGAAATTTAATCGGAAATTTTTATAAGAAAAAAATAGAAAATAGGTGCAAAAACAATTGCGTTATTTTTGTTATTTAATATAAATATAAAAACTATTTGTTATTAATGTAGTTATTTATTGTTGAAAAATTTCTAGATCTCTCTCTTATGTAAAATAATTACACGAAGCATTAATTTTTCGCGAAAACTTGAGAAAGTGATTGTTGTCATATGTACCGTCGTGTGAAAGAGATGTACCATTTTGTATCTACATATCTATATCGTATTCGCTTATGTATAACGTGCGTGTGTGTGTGTGTTATGCGACCCGTGTTCGCGGGGGAACACGTAACGAAACGACTCGCTGTCTTCCGCGGGATCCGGGAGTCCGGCGAACAAGAGGTTCGCGCGTCCCGTTCGCCCCCCGCGCGGAAACTCGACACCGCGCCGGAGGAAGAAGCGCGTGTTTCACGCGTCGCGGCGCATCCGCGTTGATGCTAACCCATTGTGAGGATTGTCAATCCTCGCCGACTGGGCAAGGATTTCACGCGCGGGATACGGAACGGATCGTAGTCGCTGACGATCGCGCCGCCGACTTTTCCACGCGATGCACTCTCGTCGCTGCTCGCGCGACGACCGGTCTGCGAAAAAAACAAAAAAAAAAAAAAAAAAAAAACGATTCGCACACCAGAGAGTGAGGGCCCTAATTTCGCGCACTTCAAGCGCTATATAAATTTTTGGAGACTTACGATCTTCCGTTATTTAAGAACACTATTATCTCCGTTTTTGACGGTTGTAAAAACCGGTTTGATGCCGGCAGTCAAGTGCAGAAAAACAATGTTGCCGAGTTTAACCGCGACACGTTTGACGTCAAACGCGGAGAAAACGTTGTCTTGGACAAAATTACGTTTCGGAAAAGAAAAAAAAACGGGGCTCAACTGTACGAACTCTTCAATTACGCGGTGAAAGGCAATTACGTCGAATTAAGTAGGCAAAGCGGTCAGATTTGAGTCCGCTATAGATATAGTCGGAAGTTAATGTCTCAGGTCGAGAATGATTAAGTCGTGCGGACGTCGCGTAATCTCTTCGCGTTTGGTTGTTCGCGATAACAATCAAGTCGTTTACCGTCCCATATTTGTCTCGTGTTTTTTGTAACGTGAAGTGTGTGTGTTTCTGTAACGAGAAATCAATCGATTCGATTTGCTGATACGAGAATCTGGACTGTAGAAAATCGAGAAAAAAACGCAAGAGTATCAATTGGTCAGCTGATACATCACGACGCTCGGTGTGACGGAAAGAGAGAGAAGTTTACTTACGACTCTGGATTCGATTTCGAGGCTTTGATCCCGTCTTCTTTTACCGAGAATCGGCGTGCAGAGAAACATGTCCATCGAGCTGCCATCCCTCCTCAAAGAGTCTAAACTTCGCACGGCGACTATGGCGGCGAGCTCGTACAGCTCCTTGAGGGCCTTCGGCCGCGTGTCCGGCGTGAAGAGTCCCGTCGATGGTTTATTCGTGACGTGAAAATGTTCCGTTCTCGTCGCGAAAGTGCATATATCCGATTCCGCTGTAACAAAATCATCGGTTTTTTAACTCTCGTCGAGAGATCGTAGAGTCAATTTCAGGTTTCGACTGCCACGTGTGGTCGCGTGTAATTTCCATCATTTTATCCCCTCTCCCAAGCATCGCAAATCATGAACGTGTTAGTTTTCTTTTCAAGATTATTTTGTATTGTTTTTTTACTAAAAAAAAAAAAAAAACAAGTGAGAGAAAGATTTATCGTGACGCAAAAAAGAGGACGTTCGGTTGTGGAATCAGGATGGAGAAAAAAAGGAATGTCTCGCGCGCCTCACATCAAATTTAAGAGACGCCCTCACGACTGCGGCTCTTTTTCTCGTCTCGCATAATGGAGTATTTTAGCTTCGTAATATACTTTTTTTGCCGGTCAAGTGGTGGCGGGCGATATCACGCCGCTGACATATCTTAACTGTAAACATGTTCCATTCACGGTTTTTTGCGCCGCCAGCACACGCATCTCAGGCGTAGCCATGAAATCGGTAAGAAAAAGCTTAACTCACGCCATCACCCGCGCTCGAGGGGGCGTGCTTGATTCGACGTTTCCGGTTGTTTTCAGAAACGGTTTCTTCCGCGACCGAAAGACCGACGGGGTCTTAATTTCTGACGACGAGGCTCTTACCCAACGATTTCAATTACACGTTTGGGGCCAGTGATATACACATGAACAAAAAAAAAATACCGTAAACTGACTTACTAAATCTTTGCTGAATTATTATACAAGGTGTCCGATAATGGCCGTATCACCGCTCGTGGGCAGATACGGAGGGTTGTACTGAGTCGAAAAGTTTTATACTATCTATATTTTACTACAAAAGTCCTATTGAGAATCCTGCAAAGTGATAATTAAACTTTTCGACTCAGTATGAGCCTCTCTATTTGTCCACGAGCGGTGATACGACTATTATCGGACACCCTGTAGTGGACTTCGAAAGTTCTCTTTGTCGAAAAATCGGTTATTACAAGACGGCACAAAAAAAAGATGCTTACACTCCACGCGAACCGGATAAATCAAGTGATGGATGAGTCACAACGCCCGTCGGACTCGTGCCCTTTATCGTTTTTGATGATCGGCGCGATGATATCGTATATAACAATGAAATCCCGCAAACACCTTGACTCCCGCAATTAACGTCGTTTATTCAAACGGTTCTTAATTGCCGACTTTGTTTTGTAGCCGGTTTTTGGGGGCTCGCAATACATGTACTTTGACAATAAAAACGCGCGTGTTTTTCTCGAAGCACTCCCATTATCGCGTGCGCTTCTTGTGTTTTCTCCCGCGTTGTTGTTCCTTTTGTTTCGCACAATACCACGAAGGGTTAATCACTGTCGGTTGTTCCGACACGCGATAGGGGTCTCCCTCTTTGTGCGAAACTGCATCGCCAAATAAACGTTTACGATCGATGAGCATATGCTTAATCGACCATTCTCTTATTTATTCAAAACCGAATCTTTAGTGTAGTTAACAATTTTATTGTTTTATTTATTAAAAAAAAAAAAACAACGACGAGTTTCTGCATTGATGTTGTACGTATGCAAATCGTAGAGATTTTATAAAAAAATTGCCAGATCAAAAGCTCTTTCCCCTGTTATCAATCCTTCGTCCGTCTACGCTCCAAATGGCTTCTGGAATACTTCGGCATTAAGAGTTACGCTAACGGTTCATTATGAAGCAAGGTAGTAATATCGCACGACTGCTCCGGGCATTTATGCCACAGTATATAAACAGAAATGATGCGTGTACGTGCGGGCCGCGAGCGAGTAAGAGAGAGAAAGAGAGAGACTTGCCGGTGTGTTCCGCCGAGTTGCCGCAGTCCGATTCGATACAATCGTCCGTGGAGTATTTCTTACTAACCGTCTGTAACCTCGGAAGCCGATGCACATAACTACACAGCGGGTACAACCTTCTGAGCGGACGAGCGGCGGATTCGACCTTCCATCATGATGTTCTTGCAATCTCATCGCGCGCGCGCGCGCGCGCGAACATAATCGAAGCTCTCTATGTTCCAGCATTCGCCCACACAGAAATTCTTCCACAAAGTTATCTTTGTACAAAACGCTATTTTTTTTTTTAGCATTTTGGAGGAGATTGTAGAGATGCTGATGCAGTTTTCGATGCGTTTTTGAAGAAAGTAGGTTTTTTGCATTTGAAAAATATAGCGAAGTGACGATCTGTGTGGTTAAACAATAAAATTAAGTGACCGTTACAATTCTTCAAATCTCAGCGAACCTCTCATCTCTCAATAAAAAAAAAAAAAAAAAACAAAATCAGTGGTTTTGAATTATTTTGCTGAAGAATGCACTCGAAGTGCATTCTCGGACTGAGGAGCTCTCGTCTCAATACATAAATGCGCGGCGAGCGGCATTAAGCGCGTCACGGCTGTTAGTAGAAGAGGGCCGGATCGAGATTTTTTACAGACGCCAGAAGAGAGCGAGTTACGAGTCAAGGCCGACTGCGCAGGTTGTTCGGTCATGAGAATAGAAATATGAGCGGGTAAAACTCACGGAGAGAGAGAGAGAGAGACAGAGGCGAGGTAGGCATAGTCGTGTTCGTAATAGTTGCACACCTGAGTAAGCACTGCCCCACACGAACGTTCCGATCTCACAATAATAGGCTTCGAGCTAGTCGCAATCGTTTCTCACAAATCAGCACGATCCACCGTAATCGCGGCTGGCATGAACTAATTACAATAGTAACTTGGCAGCGACGTATGGGGTCCGGATGGAAAATAATAAAACAGAACCGCACCGATGCTCTCGGTTTTAAATGCGTTGGATATTTATGCGAGATAAAATCCTATTCAGAGAATAATAATCCCATTTAAGAATCATGAAGATACTATAGTTGCCAGATAATATAAAATACTGGATACTATCAGAAAACGAATATTTCAAATTCAATTTAATCTTCGTTTCATTCGAAATTCTCGTTAACTTTCAACTATCCGTCTCACCTGCGCGAGAAGTTCACACCGAAGTTTCGCAACATCCGGCGGGGTCTCTTTCTCGACTCGCTCGACTCTCAGCTAGCGAAAGCATGGAATCGTCGTCGATCGGGTGGCACGAAGCCGAGCGGTTCGACGAATCGAGAGACAGGCTTGCGAAGGAGAACGGAAAACACGGAGGACGGGCAAGAGAACGTCGAGAGAGAAAGAGAGAGAGAAGAAGAAGAAGAACGAGGAGAAGAGTCTCTTCTCGATGGTGAAGAGCCGGTCGGCCCGTGGGAGGTCCGCTGTAGCCGATGAGCCTCGGCTGTACAAAGTGCCCCGAAGGGCCGCTCGCGCGGCCTTTCAGAGGGACCGACAGACGGCTTACCGGTTGCTCCGCTGGCCTCCTCGCAGGCCACGGCTGAAACCAAGATATCAAGAAAGCGCGTAATTCATGCTCGCTTCTCTCGGAGGAAAGCGCGCGAGTAAACCGGGCTTGGATTATCTCCTCTTGCGACCGCTCGGAGAGTGTGCGTTAGAATTAGTCTTTCTCTAACCGGAGACTCACTATATAGATCTTTCGCGTGCGCGGAGATGCGTTTCTCGCGAATTTGAATCAACCAGGAATTGCATCACGGGCGAGCGCCGCCGGTTTAGCTCGAGAATAAATTAGTTGAAAGTAAATCTAATATACGTGCGTGCGTGCGTGCGTGCGTGTGTGTGTGCTGGATTAGCTTTCTCGTAAATTTACATAATTCAGATTGTGTGTGCTGACCAGAATAATATAATGTGCATAAGTTAGTTTGTGTTTCGATTTATTATCCTTTCGCCGTATCCTAGTCTAAGTTTAGGATTAGCTTTTCAGAACTTCAACGTGATTTTCATGTGTAATTTCTAATTGCCGGAAATTCGATGGCATTAAGATGTTCCCGCAATAATCACCGCGAGCGTGTTGATTCTCGTTGTAAACTCTTGGAATTATATAGTTCCCGCTGATTCGATTAGAATCCCGGGAGAAGCAATTTCGCGTAAATGCACAGGTCGCCGCTTCGCCGAGAATTTGGATCACGCGCGCGCGCGTGTGTGTGTGTTGGTACAAATACGAGCGAGCGTTTTTGATCTGTGTCGATGATAAATCGACGGCGATGGTATCCGGGATCGAGGTATGCAGGTGTAATAAGGTGGAATATCATAGGACGTGTACACATACACGTGACAGATGATGTATTGAGTAACGACGACGATCGTAACTCGGGTAACATAATTGTTACACAGAAAGAAACTCTCGCCGCGATAATAATTACGGACGTAAACGAGCTGTAAACGATTACTCATCATTACGTCAACGTCGACGCGTTCGCATATCGCGCTAATTCTGTCCGTTGATGCGCTTATGTAAGTACAGCGCGCGATACAGCGCAAAACGAACGATCGACAGCGGACGCGCGGCGATCTATCAGGCCTCTAATTACGACACGTCCCGACGTCGCGCAAAAGACAGAAAGAAATATCGTCCGGTTCCTCGGTGTTTGCCAACAAAAACCCGGAATATCCGACGAGAGAGAAGCCGCAGGGATGAGAGAACCGATCATCACGTAACGCTTGTATTCAAATACCAACTCGGAGCCCTGTTTATCTCTTCTCTCCTCCGGCTCCCTCTTTTCGCCGATGATGACCGCCGGGAGCCTCTCTGACGGATGGCGCAAGTACGCATCAAAAACATCACGCATCCGCGGTCCCGGGGTTTCGCGGCCGAATAAACACAGACCTGCGACTGGTTCGGGACCCCTGTATAATCGCGAGCGAAACAAGTCCGCCGCGTTCAGCGGCGAATAGCTGTACGTGTTTCTGGGAGAGGAGCTCCTTTTTGTCCGCTGTGCGTTAAGTCGGAAGGGAGGAAAAGACGAAGGAGGAGACGAGACGTGCACGTCGAAAGGTGATCGAGAAGAGAAAAGAAGAAAACGACACAACACACAATTACGCTACACTCTTATTAATATTTATTACACTTGAAAGTGTAAAAGAGAGAAACAACGGAAAAAAAACGCACACAATTATTTCTAGA